CTTGTGTCCTAATCACTATGTCTAGTATATATATTGTGAACAAACTTGGATGAGTTAGAATTCAAAATTACACTTTACTAAATGAGGAATGCATATTGACCACGTTTGCTAATAAATAAGTGAACCATGTTTACTAATCACATTAGTCGAACGGTTAAATGATTTTTGATTTAGTGATTAACATAATTGATTTTTAAACAGTGATTTGAAAAATAGATAGTTTCGTTCATCAAACAACATTGTAAAATAAAAATAAAAGCCCAAAAAGTAAAATGATAAGATCCAAATACAAAAATTGATATCATCCTCATCGTGGAATTCAGATATTTCGAGCACAAACCTCTCCGGCCAAATTATAGTTATAGTGATCAGTGATTATCTAAAAAAAAATCAATGAGTTTCTCTAAAAAGAAATAGATGGACTCAGTGCAATTTATTTTGGTTCGATTAAAACTTTCAAATTTGAGAGAAAATTTTTATCGTGACAGGAATATGGATGATGTTTTTATGTAAGTGGCAAGAAATTTTATTGTTTAAGTTACTAACTTTTTAACACATATATCCTATAATTTATATAGTAATACGTGATGTACTATCTCACGAGCTGATCAGTGATCACAATAAAAAATCTCTCCAAATCTTGCATATATATGTGGAAATAATACATGACACGTGGATGAGTGTTAGGACATCACTAAGAACTGATGTGGCAGACACGTGAATTGATTAGAATCTGTATCAGCATAATTGATACTCTCCAGCTCTTCCAATCCTCAACTAATACATAACACATGTTCATCGCTATAGACATTTCGATTCAATAATATATTATCATGTATAAATAATTTACACATGATAATATACAATTTAATAAAAAACTCTACGTAACAATAACATTGTTCCATGAAAATTCTTCTCCAACCAAATTGCAAAAAATGGGCCTTCCCTTATGACTCCACTGGCCAACTTTATTTAAAAGCATTGAATTTAGTACTTGGTTGGAGAAGAATGAAATCAGAGATTGCAGGCCTTGAGAGTGTAAAATGGTAGGTCGTTGGGAGCGAAGACATGAGACTGGTCTTGAATGTCGATTTATTAACGATGAATTTGAGAAGAAAGAAAGTCGGCTTTGAGAAAGATATGCAGAGAGAGATAAAAGCGTTGGACATGTTTATCCCTACATCCAACCAAGATTTGACGAAATCTCACTTTTGTATTAATTCGATTTCGCGTGTAAAGTATTAGATAGGATGCTTGAAAAATGTATTGCATAAGCGTTAAAAAGCCACTAAATAAAAGTTTTTTTTTTAATAAATAATATTATTATCTACTACTAAGGGAAGGGGTGTGTTTAGCCTCACAATGTGCTAGTTGTGCTAGTAATAATATGGTTTAAACTCGCATTTGGCGAGAATTGAACCTAAGACCTCTCACTTACAAGTGAAAAGAAATATCACTAGACCGTAATACTAAGTGACACTAAATAAAAATTCTTTAATGACTCATTTTCAAGTAGTTATTTATAAATTTATTTAAAAGCATTGTATTTAGTCATTTCAAATTTCTTTATCTGATGTTTTGTGGTGCATATTTTACTACTGTTGTCTAAATCTCTTGCTAATTGATAATGTTTCATCCAAACAAGTGTTTATATGGACCGAAAAAACTCAATATATGGTAGCTGGTTATTTTAACTTCTCACGTAACTCTCATACTTAAGATGTATGTGTGGTATTATATTTTTTTAATCTAGTTGCAGGTTTTATTAAATTGAGGCTCACTTTTTTGTTTTTATCCTTATTACAATTAATTTTTTTCTTGTTTTTAGTACAACATAATGTTAGTATGTTAAATAGTTAATTGTCAAGAGAGGATCAATAAGAAATGAATCCACACTAATATGCACGCACTTGATTACTTTCCGCCACTGCAGTAAAACACTCCAAATTCTCTCGTATTCGATTCATTCAGCACTGGTCTCACGTATGATAACGTGGGTGCATTTTTACTTACCACTATAAACTATGGCGTATGCTTCTAGTCACTTAATCTTGATCTTTTTTAAATTAAAAAAAAAAACTATTAATATGAAAGTTAACTAAAATTAAATAAAATAATAGTAAAAGATAATTAGTCGTACGAGAAACATACATTATAATTCTGAAAGTGAGCAAAAATGCTATGTCATACGCGATGACATAGCAATGGTGATCATGTGGTCGAACTAAGCAGACCATTTGACGATCCTTTGCCACAAAGATATCTATCGAAATCGACACCAAAAGATAAAATTTCTTTTTCCTTTAATTTAATGGAAAATGTCCCTTTTTTGGTTACCCAAAACAAAAAGAAAAGCAATATGTCCCTTTCGAAAAACAAAATAGAATTTCATTAGAAAATTCAAGATAATTGTGATGACCAAATCATTGTATACATTTGATTGCAACTTTCTTATGTACTACTAGTACACGACACTAGTAGGTTATCTGTCATCGCACGTCATTTTCTTGTTTCTTTGTTTATTTTTCTCTCTCTACGTTTTTCAATCCATCACATCCAAGATTATTGCGCAAGAATTCTTTTTTTACATCGAAGGAGCAAAGCAATTTCCGTTACAAAAAGAAGGAGAAATATGATCTTTAAATTAAATATTCGTCTTGTTAAATTTTTACTTACATAGTGATGGATACATATTTTTTCATATTATATGGTCCACTTTGTAATGTATTTTGATAATTCAATCATTTATCTTTTAAGTATTCTCTCAAACGTCGTGTCTACAAAAATCACTCAAATTACAAAACATATAACCATTTAATTAATGGTAGTCATTTTAGTGTTATTTGCATAACATCATACATTTAATTTCTTCATTTCGTATGAATGTCTTAATAATTTTAGATTTAGTTTATTTTTTCGTAATGATAATTTATTTATGATGAATTAAAATATAGAAGATCAAGATGATATAGAATGCATCAATGTATATATCTCAAATATTCAGCAGTAATTTGATGCATTGGCGATTGTGGGTATTGACGTATTAGGTAATTCATAAGCCACAAAAGCTTAGCAGTCAGGCAATGATCACGCATATTCTTATATCGACAAACATAAGATGACAACAACTGAGTAGGATTGTTATAATATTATACTTAATTTAGTCACTATTATTTTATGAGGGGGATGTGAATGGCAACACAAGAAATAAATTCCACTTGATGCTGTTATAAACTATACTTATTTAGTAACCTATAAAATGCAACAACATTTTTCGTGTGTCCTAACCATTACGTCTGGTATATATTGTAAATTAACTTGGATGAATTAGAAATTGAATTTACAGTTTACTGAATGCGGAATGCTTTTGTAACATCCCACATCGTTCAGGGGAGTGGATCCTGTAAGCCTTATATGTATATGCTCATCTCTACCTAGTACAAGGCCTTTTGGGAGCTCACCGGCTTGGGTTTCGTATGAACTCAATAATTAAGCGAGTTCTCTCGAGAGCAATCCCCGGATGGGTAATCCACTGGGAAGTTCTCGTGTGAGTTCCTAGAAATAAAACCGTGAGGGTGTGGTAGGGGCCCAAGGAGAGCAATATCGTGTTGCGGTGGAGCTATCCACTGGGAAGTTCTCGTGTGAGTTCCCAGAAATAAAACCGTGAGGGTGTGGTAGGGGCCCAAAGAGAGCAATATCGTGTTGGGAAGTTCTCGTGTGAGTTCCCAGAAATAAAACCGTGAGGGTGTGGTAGGGGCCCAAAGAGAGCAATATCGTGTTGCGGTGGAGCTGAGCCTGGGATGTGATGAGGGCCCGAGCTTGGATGTGACAGCTATCAACTTTTTTATCTGGACCTTCTCCCTTTTTTTTTTTCACACAACATAGGTCATTGAAAGGATCTCGGAGACCCACCAAAGCACGAAAGTCAGCATCATTAAATCGATTTCTATATATATAGAAAAGGAACATGATGATATTATTGGGGGGGGGTCTCTTCCTTATCTTGCAATGTCATGTGATAATTTGAACCGTTTGTCTTCTACGTCACCCTTAAAATATCGTTTTTGCAAAAAATTAATTAAATCTAAAATCATTTAGTCTTCAAACGGTTATAGAATAAATAAACGAATCATGTTTTCTAACCAAGTTAATTGAATGGTTAACTGATTTTTGATTTAGTGATTAACATATTTGATAAAGGATAATTTAGAAAGTAAACGATTCCAATCATCAAATAACACTACAAAGTAAAAATGAGAACCAAAAAATAAAACGATAAGATCCAAGTAAAATGGTTGCTAGCATCCTCATTGTGGAATTCAGATGTTTCGAGCACAAAGCTCTCCGGCTAAAGTATGATCAAAGATTATCTAAAAAGGCAATGACTTCATCTAGAATGAGTTCATGTAAATAGATGAACTCATTGCTTTTTATTTTGGTTCAGTTATAACCTTCCAAATATGGCACAGATATGTGGAAATGTGTACATGACACGTGTACGAGTGTTGGACAACACTAAGAACTGTTCTGGCAGACACGTCAATTGATTAGAATCCGCAACAGCGGAATTGCTACTCTCCTGCTCTTCCAATCCTCAACTAGTGTTTACCGTTACACGACGTCTTGATCCAACAATATATTGTCATGTAATAAAAACAAACTACAGTTACTCGATCCTCCACTGAGGTAGAATATCGATTATTAGCTCATAATGCAGCTGAAATCACCTGGATTCGTTAAATCTTCAGAGACATTGGATTTCCTTTATCCAAAGTTCCTACTATGTGGGGTGACAATGTGTCTGTGATTTCGCCGGCATCAAATCCAGTTTTCCATGATCGTACTAAACATGTGGAAATTGATTACCACTACATTTGTGAATTGGTTCATGCTCATCTTCTACAAGTTCAGCATGTTCCCAGTCAAAATCAACTTGCTGACATTCACACAAAGGCTTCTATGTGTTTATGACAGTACCGAAACAAAAGAAATGTGGGAGATTCTGCTAAAATAAGATTCTGAGAGCTTCCAATGAAGCTATAAACAAGTCACAGAAAATCATAAGGAAAAGAAAAACTCCATTCTGGTTCATGACCCCAACAACGAAATTGGTAAAATCCAGATTGTTGAAAGCTAATATAACATGAACACTATCCATCTCAAGTCAAGTTCTGAAATACTAGTTTACGAGATTCCGAAGGATCTGGGAACCTACAGCAATACGAACAGAATGAATTCAATCTTACCTTGGATGTACTGCACCGGCCATAAAACCAAATCGACCCCCAATGCGTTCTAATTGATTATAAGAATAACGAAAAATACAATTTACATATCATCCATCCAACAAGACGAAAACTTATAAGCTTCGAGTTTATTCAAGTCCCAGCACATTATTTGAATATTTATCCCACCTGGCAGGAAGAAAGCAAGGAATGTGATTAACAGATCAATCGAACAATGTACATATATGAAGAATTATGCCACAAGTATTTCATTTGATACCCTCAACAAACGTGACTTATCATCCAATTCCCCTTAACGAACACTAACCCGACATACAAGCATAGCATCAGGTGTACGACTAAACAGATCCATGATCCAACGGGTGAAGTGAGAAGCTCGAATTTAATATCCATATTTCTTATCTCAGAAACTTGAAAAAATACATACTCCATTTGACTGACAAGGACAAACTTTAGGGCGTGGATGAACTAAAAAGGTCCATTCACACAGGAAACAAAACGAATAAGTATCCTAAGGCCATAGTTTTGTTCTTATTCTCCTTCATTTTCTCAGCAAACAAAACAAGGGGTACAAATATATATATGGCTCCTATCACCAGAAATGAAACAAAGATCAGTGAGAAATTGAATCCTAAAGAATTAACAAATACGATACATTCAACCTATATTTCGAGTTATTATTCACAAAATATTTAAAAAAAAAAAAGAAATAAAACCAGACTAGGAGAGAGCCAGAGAGACCTGATTTAATCAATCAACACACCTAAATAAATAAACAAGATGTCAGATCCAGAATGAATCTAACTATATAGATCTAAGAAGTAAAGAAGGAGACTAGTATAGCACATCTACCTGGTTTGTTGGAAAATATTATCACTGAAGGATATTGTTGAGGGTTGCAAGAAGAGAGAGCTCGAAGAGTCCTTACTTTTCTGTTTCTAAATTGATTACTTTACTGAAAAAATCCTTTAGTTATTCTTAAAATTTACACTGATTCGGTAAACTCAGTTCATCCTGTGTTCTCCAAAAGCTATTATCTTCATTCAGCAGCCAAAACAATTAATTTACCCCTGTTTTGGTTCCACAAAGAAAAAGATCAAGTCGTAAGACAAGTATGCAGAGTATAGTTTGTTATATTGTTTATGTATGATACAAGAGTATATCACGTAAAGTTCTCTGATCTTTGTGGCTCTTCATTTTTGTGCTACCTTTTAATTGTGTTGCACAATATCTTGTATTTGATTGACAGCTAGTAAAGTAATATAGCACGACAGTTTCCTCAATAAAAACATGAAAATATAAACCACTATATTTGTGACAAACTTCTTATGTACTCCAGCAGAACCCACATTTACTAACCTTTTAAACTTCACCAAGAGATTTTGGCATTTTAGTCCTTGGTCTACCTCGTCTCTTCTTAGTAGGTGGAGGCATGATAACATCTTCTGAACCATCATCCATCGCGTTCTTAGTGTCAGGTACAGGAGAGATACGAAACCCGTATGAACTTCGAAAGTAGCTTGACGTGAAGAGGTCATCAATATATTCATAAATGCTACCAGAATGTTTTTGTACAGCAACAAGTGCATGAACACATGGAAAGCCTTTAATTTGCCACTCATGGCAGGTGCACAGACGATTATGCAGATCAACCATAACAGAATAATCAGCATGCACCTCATACACAGAAGCAGTAGAACGACTGACATTCCAATTCCTACCAAGCATCAATATTTCGTTCAAGGTTTTCTCCATCTCAGGGCATAGAACAGAAGACCATTGCTCTGCTTCACGACTCAACTCAGCCATCATTCTCATGAGTTTAATCCTGATGCCATCAACCATATGAAAGATGGGCAAGCCACATAGCTCCAAAATCCAAGAATTAAATGTTTCTGAAACATTGTTGCATGTTTCACCATATTGATAACCCTTAAAGTAGGCATATGACCACTTCTCCTTAGGAAGATCCTCGAGAAAGGTCATAACAGGAGCACCACCCTCATGTTTCAAATTTCTCAAATTAACCTCAAAAGCAGCTTTAGTGGGAGCACGAGCGCATTTTGAAAAAAGATCAACAATTCGATCCCGCAAAAATTTACCATAAGTAGATGGAAATTTAGATAAAAGGTTCTGTTTCAAATTTTGCAAGCAAAATGCATGATGGGATGTTGGAAATATGTTTGAAACAGCTTCAACGAGACCTTTGTTCTGATCAGATACAAATGTAATTGTCCTACCTTGCGGGGTCAAAACTTTAGCTAAATTTTCAAAGAACCAGCTCCAATTTTCCTCATTTTCTGAGTCCACAATAGCAAACGCAAAGGGGAACGATCCTGCAAACGAATAACATAAAAACAGAATTGATGATGAGTATTCCAATATTTTTAAAGATAGCTGTTGACAAATACATTTAACATAATGTCAATCACCAATAAATACAACATAGAGATGTAATTGTCAACCAGTTTTACTAATAGCTCCATGAAAGTGCCTTTCTTCATCTCACAGATACATGTCAACAATCACTTAAACTTATACCTTGATTTCCATTCTTCCCGGTGGCACCAATTAGTTGGCCTTCATGCTTACTTTCTAGAACAGTCACATCTATGAACAACAACGGTCTGCACCACTGAAAACCTTCAATGCAAGCACCATAACAAATAAACAATCTCCGAAAGCGAGAAGTCTCGGGATCACAATCCAAGACACAATGCGACCCGGGATTACTTGACATTAAAACATTATTATAACCAACCAATCGACTATACGATGAGGATTCATCACCATGAACTTCACTCTTAGCCATTTCTTTTGCGTACCATGCAGTATGGTAAGGGATATCAAGACCATAATTCTGCTTAAAATCCTTGACAATATCTACTGGCTTAATAGACGGTTTCCCCCGGATTTGATCCACCAAAATAGAAGATACGATCTTTGCATTCATCATCTTACTTTTCTCCTCACGGTTAACACCCGTGCAAGTGTGAACATTATTTAGAGTCTTTATGTAGAAAAAACCATTCAACCGACAACCTGAAGCATATACACGCCAATTACAGCCATCTGAAATCTTCTTAAAACATTCAGCAATAACACGGTCCTTATCATTCTTTACATAAGCAAAACGAAATCCCATCGCAAAGGCATACATACACAACTTCGTACGAAATTCATTTGCACCCCCTTCAAACTTCTGGCCTACATGATCAATGTATTCCTTCCAACCCTGAGACAAGTGTGTATCACTTTCCTGAAATCTGGAGATGCTATCTAACATGCATGATGAAGATGCTAAATGATTAGATATTACATCATCACACGATGCATGATTAGATATCACATCATCAAACGCTACATGATTGGATACTTCATGATTGGACGCATCATGGTTAGATATTACATCAATAAACACTGCATGGTGAGAAGCTGCATGATTAGAAGTTGCATCACTAGATGTTGCATTATTAGAAGCTGCCCGATTAGATGTTGCATCATCAGACAATGTACGATTCGGAGCTCCAGGTGTCGCATGATTAGGTGCTCCAGGCGTTGCATGATTAGACGCTGCCTGATCAGAAGCTAGATGATCAGGTGTTGCATGATTAGTTGCATCATGATCAGAAGCTGCATGATTAGAAACTGCATGACTATGACTATGAGGTGTCTGATCAGACGCTGCATAATTACAAACAGCCCGACACTGAGGTGGAGGATTAGGCGCTGCAATATTGCCATCCTCATTATTTGAACTTACAAGATCCTTGACCGAAATGTCAACAAAACTACTCTTCAACATAGATAAACACATAAGCATCAAATGCACATCCATATCTGATTGCAGCAAGCAATTAGGATGCTCAGGAAGAGAATATGTCAGCTCAAAACTCCCTACTGTCAGTTGTTTAAACCTTAAACATATCTCTTTACAGATATCTGCATATTTACTGTGTTCCAACAAAGCAATGACAACAGTAACTGCACGATAACTACACCTTGCTATTCTAGCACTCTCCATTCCTCTACATGCAAAAAGGAAAGCCAGAGATAAACAGTAAGTATAACCAAAAAAAAAAAAAAAAAAAGAAAAACCAGTAACTACAACTACCATATAACTAAAAGTAACCGTTCCATAGTAAATATCAAGCTTCTCAACAAAATCAAACATTAAACCACTACGTTAACAAGTACTCCTATGAGTCCTATCAAAAGACAAACCAAACACAATGTAATTGGCAGACATGGGTTTAACCAAGTTGGCTAGGGCAGTATGCTCCACCATCGACACCCAAATTCGAATCCCACCCCCCGTAGTTTAGATGAATTTAGTGTAATTATCATATCATTTGTCAAAAAAAAAAAAAGGACACAATGTAATTGAATGCAACCATCTTAAACTTAATGCAATAATACTTTTGAAACAGTCTACTGTAACAACCTGTAACCAAGAGTTTTCCATATTTTCTTGGCACTAGGATGCAACATTATACAATCTATTGACCACAACATAACAGTACCTGTAAAACTGTTGTGGAACAACAAAATCGAAAAAAAAAAACATGAGAACGGAAATAACAGTGCTGAACCAAATACCACAACCATACCCAATCAATACAAATTAAATACAATACCTAAAATGTTAAAGCAAGCTAACAAGCAAGGAGAATTTTAGAAATACAAATTCATGCAAGAGCAATACCTCAATAACTAATTCAATTTTAAGAAATAAAACATTCTTAATAAACCAAAAAATAGATGTAGATAAACTGACAAAAGAGAAAGAACACAAGCATAAAGAATAAACTGAAAACAAAACAAAAACAAAATTCTAAATAGCATGTTAAAAAATTTATGAAAGATTGGCCAACTATGTACCCCAAATAAGTGATAGCTCTGAAATAGAATTTTAAACCAAGATAAGTAATAGAAGATAATCTAACCATTAATCACCAAACTTGGTAAGGACTACCCAAATGAAGGACAAAATGATTAATGAAAAACAAAAGTATTGTCTCAACGAATTGAACGAAAATCTCTGTTAATGCAATTATGCAACTAAAAATTTACATCTTAAGAATAAAAAAACGAATCCTAAAAATTTACATATTAAGAAACAAAAAAACGAATCTTGCAATTTGTGCTTTCCAAGCAAGTTGACATTTTAAGGGTGCAGTAACATCAAAATCCGGTTGATCAACACTAGGGAGGGATATAGTTTAATTTAACTTCTGAACTAAAGGATAAACGTTCTCTAAAACACAAAACAATAATATTAATCTATGGTATATTCCTTTTCCGAAAAAGCACTTGTGCTGGAAGACCACATTCCAGGTTTGGAAAAATTAAACGGTGAATATGTCTACTACTACTGTTACTGTATGATCGTGTGATACTAAATACCGCTCCATAGAAATTGCAGGTAATCCAGGAAATAACATAAATGGAAACAAATAAAAATCCATATAGATGTGGGAAAACTATCCAGGTTAATTTTGTGAGTTACAAAGAGTGAAGGAGAAAGAATTTACATTTCCTTTGGTTATCCTTGATTGGGTGTTTACTTGTACGAATCAATCCACACTCCCCTGCACAATGCATGTGTACAGTTCAAACCTCAATGAAAACAAGTAAAAATGTCCTTTAAAGAAATAGTGTTAAAAATTAAATTGGGAGAATAAAAAATATAATTGCATTGTCAATAGTGTATACACAATGCTAGAGTATAATATACACCACCAAAACGGGAGATATTACAATACCTGCGGTGCAAAGTGAGATAGTACAAGTCTGCATAGAGTACAAAGAATTAAAACTCTATACATATATGTAAGTGCCGGAAATGGTATGAATCCGGACTTCCTGATCAAGTTGATTCTTGCTTGAATGTTCCAAATTCAGTGTGGCACAACAAGAAATTTTTGGGCCACATATGTCTAGCAGAGTTCCAAATCCAAAGAAGGTTGGCATTAACAATTAGAATCTTGGCAAGATTACATCTTTCACTTTGGTTAAATTCTGAATTTTAGTGATTTTTTTCCCTATTTCACATTTTTATTTTATGGTAACATCTCTACCAGGTAATGTCGATTTTGTAACTTAACAATAACAACTTATGTAGCCTAAAAGAAGCAAAATTTGATACTGTTGATACTGAATAAGAAAGAGGCTTCACTAAATTTCACTCCCATTTGGCTCGAATTCGTCGTAAATCACCATAAGTATAGAATCCCTTGACTTAAAAGACTATATTTCGACAATGGAAACACAAACCACCATGAAAATCTGCAGAACCAATAGTGTACATTGTCTTCCAAACAGTACGTTCGGTACAATTATGTAATAACATTGCAGAAATATCAAGAACTTATTAGCAGGATGCTTATGTGAGCCAACATAACAGGAACAAGTAAGAACGAGAACAATTTAAGGGCTTGATAATATGCAAAATACAAGAATTTTGGGGAAATAGTGGAGACAAAATGAACTAATTAACCCAATTGAAGAGAGAGAGAGAGAGAGAGAGAGAGAGATTGAACCTTAAAAGAAGAGGAATTGGAAGCAATGGAGGAACTCTGGAGCCGACTTCATACAAGGAGACGGGTAGACTGGAAAAATGCTTTTCTAACTAGCGCTTAGCTTCGGATTACTTTTGGGGCTTGACGGGGCCACTGTCAAACTCCTTTCAGTTTTTATTGTATGAACAATAAAAAAAAAAAAACTTGACCCATCAAATTATCTTATTTTCTCATCCACGTTATAATCTCATTTATCTTAAAAAGTTAAAAAATTAAAATGTATTGTAGGCATAATTTACTGAACAATTATGGAGGCCAGAGAGAGGGGTGCGGCATAGATAGAGAGAAAGAGAGAGATGTGTACTTGAGGGTGTCTATTATTCTATCTCATTGTGCCTTTATTTATAGTAGTAGGATAGGTAAAACATTTCCCTTTAGGAATACAACATTTAATAGGTAATTTACTTCTAATAGGAATATAAGAGATATTCCAAGATATACTAAGATTTACACAATCACATTCCTAATCTAATATGACTGCAACACTCCCCTTGAGTGTGTAAATACTCAAGTAAATGGCGCATTAGGTCTTCAGTGATGAAACAAGTACATTTGATGAAGTCGTCGACATAATGAGCGAGTGCGACTCTCAAATCAACGGAAGAATGCATAAAAAGTAAAACTCACAAAACCTCGCTATGGTAAAACCCATGGTGGGGAAAAACCCATAGTCTAAGGAGAAAAGTGAGAAGTTGCATTAAGTCAAAATTATATGTCTTTTGGACGTAAGTAGAAGAGCTCTCAAGGGTATGATCATCCCAGGATGGGTGCCTCGTTAAAACCTAGTTAGGTAGCAAAAACCCAGTGGGAAAAATACTCCTAATCATAGGGAAAAAGAGTACATTAAGATCAAGTGAGTATACTTCTGGATACTCCCCCTGAGTTTGACATAACTTCCAAATGAGAACTACAAGCATTGCATATGAATAGTTAAGCATATCAATTCCTCGGACAAGCTTCTGGAAGGTTGACTTCGGCAATGACGTCATGTAGAGGTCGGCAATGTTGTTTGGGATCGGCTTGCATGACTTCAATCCTTGATGCTTTGTTGATGTAAATGTAGGTGCAATATGTCTTGGCGTTGACTTCATTGATGTATCATGTCTTGGTCGGGTGGATACATGCGACATAGTCTTTATGGATAGTTGTCGGGACTCAACGATGGATGAAAACACAGTAAGTACTTCAAATATGCTCAACAAGAACTCCTAACCATGTCTCATTTGTGGCGTAGTGAAGTGAGGTAAGTCTTGGAACGATTCAAAGATTTCACAACTAAGGTCATATCGTGGACCTCCAAGATATTGCGATATCCCTCAAGGTAAAGACATAACCATTTGGGATTTTGCCTTGTGCAGGTTTGATATAACCATTTGGGGATTTTGCCTTGTGCGGGTTTGATAAGTAACTTGCATCAGCATAACAACAAGGCAAACATCATTTCGAGGATTAGGGGGTTGGATCCGCTCGAGATGCGTTGGGATTTGCCCTTATAGTACCTTTAGGGTACGTCTTTAATACTAATTCAGTGGTTGCGTGTAGGTGCGGTGCTGCATCTTTACTGAGATCAACAGCAAAGAAGATGCCCTGTCTAAATATAATGAGCTAATTACAACGAAGTGCAAAGTTGAACTTAGATATGAATTTCGGATTCCATAACCTCTTCAAGAGTCTCATTTGCATATAACGTATGGACGATCAAAGGTATACTCAAAGGTGACACATTCGGAGTGCAGTTCGACTAATAGACCAAAATACCAGTCAGAACAATGCTTCAACTTCAGGTTAAGGCATAAACAAGTTTCCCAAGATCCTTCATCTCAAATTCCATCTTCAGGTGTGAGGTAGTTTTCTTAAGCTCTTCTGGAGTCTTAGTGAGATTCGTGTTAACGACATAAACTGTAACTCTAGCAATTTGGAATAAGACTTCATAGTTTAACACGTAAGGGCATAATTCATATCCCTGACTGATCAAATAATCACTTAGATAGGTATACCACATCCGTCAGATTTTTCAACCATAAGTGAACTCCTCAAAACAAGTTTAAGAGGGCGTTCCGTGGTTTTGGACCTATTTAAACCAGTCCATGTAATTCTTCGAGAACTTACATGTAAATCTTCATATTTATACCTCTATGGAGAAAACACTAACCTATATTTCATAATGCTGCTATTAATCACATGACGTTTTGAGATAAACCTTGCGCCATAAGGCGTGCATCATATCGCACTATTTCATTCATCTCATAACGCTTCCTTTCCCACTTCTAACACAACAGGGTTACCTTGGGCTGTGTAGGAACGGTAGGTCCAATACACACTTTGGTAAGGAATTTGACCTGGATTGTAACTTTAGTTGTCCAATCAATTCTACGTTGTCACTTAATCAACAGAACATGGTTCGATATCGTCGCTTTTCATTTATGTCGGTAGCTACCATATAAGTGAAAACATCATCGATGATAATCTCATTTCAATTCCATTTAGCTCATTCAAACTAGTATACTGGGCCAAGAACTTTAAGTTTTGGGAGAAATCCGGATTAATCTCATGAGATGGAAATGATTGAGACAGCGATCGAGTTTAGATTCATTGTTGTGCCATGTCTTCCTCTTCCAGGGAAGTGAATCCTACGAACCGAATTATCTGTCGTGCTCCAGGCCAAGATAGATTGATTGGTTATCCGCCGGTGTACCGGACCATCCAACAGGAGGGTCCAAATTATCCAACACACCCTCCAGGGATGTTGACTCAACGTCCGTTAAGTACGTCTATCCTTACAGGCATGTTTGCAGCTGGTATATGATCTCGTCACCTTAACTAGATTAGAGGAATGCGTCTGGGGCAACATTCTGAAAGCTAGAATTCATCGCACTTGCTTATTACACTTGTGCGGTATGGGGATCAAGATGAGACATAGTGGGTAACGTCTACGCAAATTCGCGCCATTCTCCAGAAATGTTGATGTTCTTATCTCCCACTAACAGCGGGAAAACTGTCTCATTAAAGTGACAACCTGCAAATGAGCGGTAAAGAGATTGTGTGCAAGGGCTCTAAGAGAGCTAGTGTGAAGGAGAATTATGATTGATAAAAAATACAAATCCTTCTTTGAGGACCTATGGTGGTACATTGCGGCGGCACAACTTGGCACATAGAATGCACACCCAAATGCGTAAATACGAAAATCGTCAGGTTCCTACCCAGTAACCAACTGTAACTCATATAGGTTGGGTGGCAATGGGCCTCAAGGCGGACCAACATAGTTGCGTACAAAATTGCATAGCCATAGGCAAAAATCGAAAACTTGATACGTTTACCAAAATTCGGACGATCATTTAAATTGAGCTTTATGATCGCTAGGCGAGGCTATTTGGGGTGAACATGGGAATTTGATGTTCAAATTATAAACCCAAAACACATGCAATACTTTATTGAAAACCGTCGGTACAAACTCTCTGGCATTATCCAGTCTTTCGGACCTTAAGGGATAAGTAGGGTGGTGAGCCTTTATTCGACCATGAGGTTTAGTAGCAATGTATGTGGACAAACATATGACCAGTTTGTTGATTCATCAACCAAAACCATAAGTATTTATATGGTCTGCATTTTGGTTGGATTAATCCACATATATTCCCTTGAATCCACTGTGAAAAGAGAGTCGTGTGGTATCTTTGCGAGGAATGATATAGAAAATCAGTTTCCTTAATGAGCATGCTTGGCAAAATGTGCTTGTAGACACAATATCCTTACTTCAGATAAGGAGATGCATTGTCCCAAAAGGTTGTGCCAAAGCAAGTAAACTGCTCAATCACCAGGCTCCAAGCCGGCCACATGTGGTGTATTCCCAGTTAGGAGACAACCCATTGACCCCAAATCAAAGCTTCAGGCTCATTTTTGGAGGTGGTGCAATGATATTTTACTCTATTTTCTTTGGTGGTTTCATTTATGATCATTGTCATCTCAAATATCCTTAAAAACTCAATGTTAGGGAGAATTTAAGGTCCCTTAAATGGTAATTCAGTACCATACAACGAGGAGCGTGCCAAATGCTCTTAATCAGGTTGGATATACCTAAAGTCGTTGTTAGAGATGTGATTTAGGTGTAAAGTTAGTGTGCGTAGTACGCATTCATCCAGACAACTAACTTTCCCACATTCCAACCTAATCACGTGTTTAATTAAATCGGTCACATGTATTAAGAAACATGATTCAATTAACTCATATTCGAGGACAATATCAATAAGATTATCCATAAGTAAAACATACCCAAACTTGAGTCCAAGAACATGGAAAAATGTTCACAAAGTAAATGGTTTACAAGGGGATTCGGCCAACAAGGCCATCCATGTCAAATTCTGCTTTTCCAACGATGTTTGGTGGAGCAAAATTAGTCTCCTATATTGACTACTAGAATGGTACTCCTTAACAACATTGGTAGAGGCACGAACATGTGCATAACCAATGATCTATTCCATCAAGACAGAAGTAGATTTTGCAGGGTTGAAGTTTAGGAATACTATCCCTTATTCTTAAAGTTTTAGGTCTTAGGTACCAATGATCATGCTTCAGGCATAATGTCATTCCTTGGCAGGCCCTGATTCTACCATATGTTGTAAAAACAAACTCGAAATTGGATTGCGAGAGAATATGCCATTTGGTGTATCCCTGCTGAAGCAGTGCATCACCATTCGGTAGGCTTTGACCGAACTGGGTCGAGCTATTCGGTAGACTCCAGTCGAACTAGGTCCATACCTTTCTCTCACGTTTGTGATAGTAATCAGATCCGAGAATGGGGTAAACTTCCGCTTATGAGGTAAACTTCCGCTTTCTACACTGCTGCTTCAGGGGTGAGTTAAAAATATGGAAGGACAAGAAAAATATTCTCTAGTCAAAATTTGATCGGATTTATGAACTTCAGAATTGTACTCATTCATGGACGTAATCATGGTGTGCTTCGGGCAATATGTCGCATGATCACACGGTCCGTAGGAGCGAGCCAAAGAGCCATGAAATCCTTGTTCGGGAGGTATTTCCATTGATAATGCTTCGGGCATAAGTCTTCGAATGGAATGCTGTGTAGTCTATAGTGGCTACAGGTTTAGCGGGCCAA